AAATAGACTACTTTAAGAACTTTAATTAAAGTTTTTGTTCATTTACAGTTTAAATTGTAAATAAAGCTAGAAAACCTTCTCAGAGGGTGCAGGCCCTCAAGTTAATTCATTTCAGTCAGTCAGCTAAGATTAAAAATGCAAAAATATGACTGTTACCATGATTTTTGGATCCAAAATGGATCAAACTTTATGTTTATTATGTTTACGGAAGTCTGTAAAGATAATAGGCAGTGAGCATTCGTTTTCATGTGACTATTTTCAACCGTACTGTAGCTATAATGTTGGAGCAACAGATGCCATTGTGTGTCACAGAACATGACCAGCATGACCAGCTCGCTTACGTCAAATGAACAAATCAGTCAATAAAAGTGATTCGGTTCAGTTTGTTCCTGAAAAGATTTGGTGATTTGAACAAACAGGTCAAAGATGATTCAGCTGTAGCAAAGAGTATGCACTTATGAAAAATTGCTCTAATCAATCAAATTTCAGTAATGTTATATGCAGTAATGTTGTCATTATATTGTAAGAGACTTAATGGAATTATGGAAAAATGTAGAATAATTTGAGTATCCATTAATGAAACATCTATTTAAGTTACTCCCAACACTGTCAACAAGTATCTTCACAAATCTTTGTCTAATGAAAGATTGGAAGAAAGAGGAAGTTTCTCTGAGAAAAAAAAAAACAGTGAGTGAGCTTGTTTACTTGGTGCGACAAGACATGCGTAGGACACAGCAGAAATCTGGACAAAGAAGGTTTGGTCAGAATAGATTCCTTTAAAATGCTACCTGGAGAAATCATCTATAGCGGTGGTGGATATTTCATTTCTAAAAGAATCTTAGCTCATTTAAATACTTTATTAGCTTGTGGCTACAACACAGAAAATATGGAAGAGCTCAGTGACTGAGGATAGTTTTGGCTATGATCTTTTCCCAAAATACCTGAACAATAGTATTTTCATTTGATCAGGCACCCCTGCTGTGATTAGGATAGAGGATCTGAAATACACACATAAAAAAACTCTGAAGGCACAATAAACCCACAATAATAAAGAAAACAAATACAAAAAAACTCAACACATAAAAAAGAAGAAAAAAAGGCTCACAGACATCTGTTTCTCTACCAATCATGTTCTGACCAGTGAAGTCTCACAAGGGATCACCTGCAGCCATGTCTGGAGAGCCTTACCGGCTCGTCAGTACTGATTTTAACATCCACTTCATCCGCACAACCAAAACAACGTACCCAGCTCACCAGGAAACCTTCATAACACACTGCACATCAACTTCGAACCAGCAGGCAGATATCAAACCCAAACAGACTGCAACACCCAAATATAACATGTATTAAACTGTGATTCAATCTGTGACAAGTATCATGATTAAATTGAGGCAATTAAAATGAGATGTCTCCATAAATGTAAAAAGAGCAACAGATCTCTAATTGTCCTCCATTTATGAGACAGAGGCACAGCGCATTTAAAGTTTTTTCATTTAAATGCAACACTATCAGTGTGATGGGAGGGTCACTGAAATGAAAAAATCCAGGATTATGTGTAGTTTTTTTCTTTTACACAGTCTAAACTCTTACAGTGGGGATAAAGTATTTTTCAGAAAGTTTTTCCTACTTTAATGGATTTAATCAAACTTAATTTTCTCACTGTTTGCTTGACAATGAATTTGAATTTATTTATCTATATGTGTAGAAACAATCAACTAAATGTGATTTATGTCAACAGTGATGATTTTTATCAAATTTGTGACATGAGGTGACAATAGCTTACCCTCCTCTTGCCAAACTCACCAGCAAAATTTGAGCATGTCAAATTTTAAGCTGAGCACAGGCTGACTGCTGATGGTCCACAAGAAAGTTGAAAAATCATTCAATATTTGTTTCTGTAGAACAGAACTAAAATCAATCAGTGAGACTTTTATTAATTGATCATAATTTTCATTCTGTGGCGTGCAACCACTTTCAATATGAAAGAAAACATAATTTTAGGTGTGTCTGACTCTCCACACCTGAAATTATATGATATCAGTTAATTTCAGTATAATTTTCTGACTCTTCATCCGTTCTGCCTTGCATCCCACAGACTGCTTTGCAAATCCTTTTCTAATTAATCAAATTTCTTGAAGACAAGTGACCTGAGATCACGATTCTAAATTGTTGTTGTTACTCTTGGGTCCCTTGTAATGGGTTTTACAGCGGAATCGTCATGAGCCTTTTGTTGCTGTCACTTGTTGCTCCTAATGTGTGGAGCCTTCAAGGAACATCAGGAGTAAAGCCACAGAGTAATTGGCAGTGTTTATTGGGTACCACAAACACAAATACTATTATCAAGGTCCAGCAGGCTCAAAGCATGTCTGGTGAACAAATAGTGAATCATTCAAAGCAGATGATTCAGTTACGATAGGTCTCTGTTTTCTTATGCATTTAGTCATATTGTGTAATTGCCTGACTTTATAGGTGTAAAAATGTCACAGTTGTCCAGTGTTGGAACCAACAGGTATGTGAGGACACTCACACACGAGGTGATCTTGCATCATGCTTGCATCATCAAGAGGAAATACAGAAGTAACATTATCTTTGGAGCCTCTTTAAACATGAGGATACATTAATAATATCTTTACTTCAAGCATCAAAAACAGTTGTCTGAATTCATTGTCCAGATCTTGGTTAAAATCTGTCATTTTCCATTATGGCACAGCTCTAAGGTCATTTCCAGAGGTACCTTTCTTTAAAGAAGTAGCAACATACAGATGAATCAGCTCAATCTTGTATATTGTTATTGTTTGGTAGCTACAATCAAATAAAACTAAAGTAAAATACATGAAATGTTTGAATAAAAACTTAACATACTTGTTTCTTTCCCTAATATTTCCTTTGGGTTATTCTGGCCATTGCAGCATTTACCACAGAGTTGCTGACTCATTCTGTTTTGTTCATTCATATGTTCGGGTTGATGGGTTTCCTTTTGACGTAAATGGATTCAAGGGTTTGCCCAACACCTCACTCAGTCCACTCCCATTAACTGAGACTGTCCACTGCTGCCTACACAGAGCATTAATACCCAAGTGACAGTTCCACACAGTGACATGATTGTACCATTTCTTTGCAAACAAAACCGTCTGGCTGTGATTCACCTTGTCATGGGTGAAATATTAATGTGCAATGAGAAAGTTTTGCTTAAAGTTTAGTCTTCTTTCAATGCAAAAGGAGCAAGGACACTAACTCAATGAGTCTGAAAGAGGTTTCTGAGTCCTAAACCCTAAACTTTTCTACCACAAAATTAAGTGTCAGCGACTTTCATTTATTTCATATTGTGTCAAATGTGTGTCATAGGTGATGAATTCAATAAAGAAATATCTAAGGCTACATTCTTACAGCAGTTCTTAATATTCGATTCAGATTTTTTTTTGTGAGTTTTTTCAAAATAATTTTAAAGTTCTGCTTGTGTGAACTGTTTTCGCCCCCAAACTGACCCATGTGTACTAAAGAATAGTGACAATGGCTCCATGTCCAGCATATTTTGATCCAGAAAATTGAGAAGACGAATCTGTTACAGTTTTACATGTCCAAATACAGTCCTTTTTGGTTTTAGTGGATATGTGGGGGTAAAACTACTAATAAAATGAAAATGGAACTCTGTATTCTGGAATTTTGCTAGACCTTTTGCTCCCAGCGCAGAGTTGAAATCCTGTTTGGATTCTGTGACAGAGCCAGGACTGGAGGGGTAAGGATGTCAACAGCTTCACAGAGACCGAGTTCCTGAAGAACTTTAGGATTTTGAAGGTAACTTTTATTTAAATGTGTATTTTCCTCTGCTCTCAACTCCTAAGGCAGCAAAATACATTGTGTCGCATTGCAACGAGTACAGATTACCACACAGTCAGCCTTGCAAATTTCTCTGTTTGCAGGATATACAAACCTCTGTATATACAACCAAAAGGGTTGAACCTTCCAATCTGGTCTAAATAGAGGTTTCCCTACTTATAGAAGTGAGGTCTAAAATCTCCCTCTCCCTCCTTTTTGAGGTGTTTTTGAGGCTGCTGACTATTTCACAAACTGCTATCACTTCTAGCCACTGCTGTAGCAAAGTTGTGACAAATGTCACTGGAAATTTTATTTTTGTTTTTCCCACATTAGTCAAATTTAAAAAGATCAGTCTTAGGACCACATATTCAAAAGGTTAAAATTGGATGTGAAAAGAAAATCATATTGGGATTCAAGAACAGAGCCATAAACAATAAAACATTTTTTAAAATGGCAAAGCTACCTTGAACAGCAAACATGAGCTCTTTGGGGTCGACCACTGGAGTCCGTTTTTCTTGATTTTTCTTCCCCGCCTTACGCTGACCCCTCCTCTTTTTGCTTTCCCCCCAAAGATTGGAGCCTCCATGCATACTTGGGATGTTGAGAACTGCAATGCCTTCTAGGGATATGCTACTGAGGTCCAGAGTAACACCATCACACTGTTAAAAATGAAAGGAAAAACAGAGGAACCATGTAATCAAGTTGACAGTGTAATTTGTAGACTACCCTCTAAATGTATAAAATAAAACATATTTTATGACAATTTTTTTCACTTGATTGAAGTAATGTGTGAAGCAAGTCAAACATGTATGATTTAATATTCCACAGGATGACACATGATTAATCATCATGTGATGCAGGGAATTAACAGGAGGGAACACATCCCACAAGTTTTGTCCTCTTTCTACGCTGTCAGATTAATATCTGATTAAGAACAATGTAGTCTTGACTTGTTGATCCCTAATTATTAAGGACACATTCTTCATCTAACTAGAACCTCCTGAATGTCTCTAATGGTGGGTTTTCATCAAACGTGAAATCTGCGAAAAATTGCCCATCTTCTTGTTTTTGGCTTCCCTGACATTTCAATAGAAATTCCCCACATCAGTAAAGGTAACTTGCACAGCAGACAAACTTGCATGGATGATGAAAAGCTCCACAACATGCATCCTGCTGGTCATGGATTTAATCTGGGCAAGAACCAGGATGACCATGTCCCCCTCTGGAGCTAAGGAGCCACAATTCTAGATCGGAGAAGGAGTTAAAGGCAAATTTAAATTTGCCTAGTTTGTATGGGGGATGGTGATCTAGACATGCTGAATTTGCCAAAAAGTCACCATTCACCTCTCTAGAGTTGCGACCTCTGCCTCTCAGTACTCTAGAGCCACTGTCTACTTAGGTATAATGCAGACGGTATACTAGGGGTCTTTGTCTACAATAAAACTTTAAATGGAAATGATTTAAGCTATTTGGCTTTTTGATCTGCCTGAACCAAATAGGGCGTAAAGTATTCCTTAAGCTAGGGAAAATATAAACTTATGGGAATTTCTAAACAGGTGCAGGTGCCCCTTTAGAACTGGTCCTGGTCCTTGTTGTGGCCCCTGAAGACATAATATCGAAACAATCTTGTGTTTTGTTCTGAACTATAGCTTGGACAAATTTTGTCTTTTTGTTTTTTCTCTTTTTTTAATGATTTCAGGTGCTTCAATATCACAATTTTCAGCAGCTAATGAGCGTCTTGAATGTTACGATTGTTTTTTTGGCTACATTCACACTGCAGCCTGAAGTGACCCAAATCCGATTTTTTGGCCCATATGGGACCTGGATCGGATCTTTTCATGGCTGTCTGAACAACACAGATCCGATTTTTTCCAATCCGACCCAGGCCACTTGGCTATGTGGTCCTGAATCCGATACGAATCTGATCTTTACAAATGCAACCTGTGTCTGAACGGCCAGTCGCATTCATCCGACCTGAACGCCATTAATACCCGCCAGTGGTCACTCTTCTTGCTACGCAGCAGCGGCAACCATAGCAGATGATGATGCGAAGAGCAGTATACATGTTTAACCATATTGAAAAGATTTAGTTTTTATGGTTGGAAAAGACCGCTAGACCATCCATGTTTACTTCCGTAAGCACAGAGCACACTGGCCTGTGACCTGTTTGCGTCCTCTACTGCTCATATGGGACACTTGCTTTGTATGAGTGCAGTTCACACAGGAGATCACATACAAGTCGCACAATTTGGAAGTATGAACGGCAATGCAAAAAAAAAAAAAATCGGATTTGAGCATCAAGGCCTGCAATGTGATCGTAGCCTTAGTCATGATCCTGGCACTGGTTGTTGGCTTGATTGCTCATTCCATTCACCTGTGTAACTCTACCCGGTTTCTCTTTACTGCTTATGTGTTCCACCTGTATCCAGCTCCTATATATACTGTTTGTTTTCCAGCTACCAGTGCCAGATTATTCAAGCTGCTTGGTGAGAGTAACTCAACAAGCAGCATTATGATTATGATAATCAGAATCTGACCGGGACCTGCCCCGGCCATCCCCAGCCCGAGCTTTGGCCCTGTCCCCGCCGGCAATCTGCACCGGCCCGGACCGAGACCGAGATCCCAATGCAACGGGACTCTGACCCCAACCTCAACTCCCATTCCCCAACTCAACCGCAGCCGCAGCCTCAGCTCCGGGAATGTGAATCTGCTACAACTACAACTCCAGATATGCACATCACCACAAGGACACTCCTCCGCGTCGGCTGCCATCAGCTCCACTCATCACCCTGAGCTCTGGGGGTGGCACCCACTGCAAGCTGAGGACAATCTCCCCCTTGGACTCATCTCCTTCCTCTGGGATCAGACTGAACTCTTAACCAGGTCAGTGACTAATTTCTCTTAGTTATTATCAGCCCGTTATTCTTAGTCACTGACCTGAGTTTCTGTTCCTACAGAGGATCCAATTTATCTGCTCCAGCTGATGAGCAGCCACACGCTGATTGTTCAATAAAGACTTGTTTCAACTAATCCAGGTCTGTCTACCTTGAATATTGGGTCCAAGGTTTCAAGCTCCCCACATTTTTGGCATTTCATGTGTTAAACAATCAACCAATAACCTGTTTTTTTTTTATTGTATTCTTTTGTTCTGTGTCCCAGTAAGAAAACACTGTATCCCCCCCCCATAGATATTCTCACAAATCTGTCAAGTTTGTTGGACTAAGCTTAGGATTGAAAGTCTTTGCAACTGATCTCCGTTAAGTCAAAAACACTGTATTCTGCAGAGTAAAGCTTAACACATTTGATTATCTCATGACATTTTAATTGCAGCCCAGTAGTATTACAGTTATCTATATATATATATTTATATATATATATATATATATATATATATATATATATATATATATAGAGAGAGAGAGAGAGAGAGAGAGAGCACTAATTGATGAAGAACTCTACACTGTGTGGATAGCTCTGTGAGAGTGGAAGATGAATTGTATAGACACCAGCTTCATTATCACTCAATATTACGCACAGCAGGGTCACATTGGGCTAATTACCTGAGTGTTGAACTCGGGATCTATGAAAATCAGGCAGGGAGTTACAGAGATAGCCCTCACACATCAACACTTTCTGAAGTTAAATCTAGCATATTTAAAGAACAGAGGAGGACCAGAACATTCCTTAGCTGAGCAATCATGTTTACCTTAAGGCAGTTTAATATTTTTAATGTAGAGAAAATGTTATATTCATTTTTTTATTTGAGAGTTCATAACAGATCAAATAAAACTAGACACTTTTATTAGGTTTCTTTCTTTTCTTTTGTTCCTTTCTAGTATTGCTCTCTGCAAGCAGAGTGTGGTTTACCTCAACCTCCAAGAAGTCATGGAGCTTCTTACATGTGGCCGAAAACGTCTCCGAAGTGCCGAACTCAAAGTACCACAGCTTATTCTTTGTTCTGAAAAAAAAAAGGAAAGGGAACTGTAAAGGGAGCAAAAATAAAAGGACAAAGGAAACATGGGAGTTTTTTCTTCAAATCAAAATCTAAAGCTGACCTACTATTAAAAGGAATACATAACAGGGCATCAGTTTTATTCCAAATTTAAGAGAAAACTGGTGCTATATACTAAAGCATAGTCATTCTAAACTAACCATTCTAAATTAATAATGTGTTTCATTAGTTACAAATTGAGTCATGATAATTTAAATGTTGTCAAAGAGGCCTTTTCAGGGGACACACAGGGAAGCCACTGGTGACGCAGTTCCAACAATGAGGCATAGGGAGGAGCAGAGGGTTTAATCTACCTGCCCCTGCAATTAACTGAGGAGCAGGGTGCTCCACCCTCAGCTTCCTGCTGCACACTCTCCAAACTGCTAATGCTGATGATCAATGACCTTACAGGGGTGAGTCACCATCTGTCTCCATGCTGCCATACTAAATTATTCTTCCTTATGAAAACACCAAACCAATTTGTTTTAGAAATATAACAATTTAATTCTATTAATGCTTGATTCCAGATCGATGAGACCTAAAGCTACAGTCACACCTTTTTATATCATGACATTTATGGTGAAATACTAAAAATGTATGTTATATGGGCTTAAACATTAAGAAAAAAATTGATAAAATGGATCATATCTATGTATCCCTTACAATGCTCTCTCGGTGGAGAGCAAAACAAAGTATCCAATCCACAGTGTTCAGCTGCATTGGGTTTTTCTGTGTTATTTTTGCCAAAAGTGTTGCAAGTACAGCATACCCAGTGTGTGAGAGTAGATATCTCTGGCATGCTGATTTATTTAATAAAAAATTGTAAATGGTCTATCTATCTATCTATCTATCTATCTATCTATCTATCTATCTATCTATCTATCTATCTATCTATCTATCTATCTATC